GGGTGTGGGTATGAGTGTGGGTGTGCGTGTTGGCGTGGGTGTGGGTGAGAGTGTGAGTGAGGATGAGGGTGAGGATGAGAGTGAAGGTGAGGGCGAGAGTGTGGATGTGGGATGTGTGTGTGTCAATGTGAGTTTGGGTGTGAGTGCTGTTGCGGGTGTATGATGTAGAGTGTTTTGTATGTGTCCATGTGCGTGCGGGTGTGTATGGGTTCGTGAGGATCTCTTCTTCACTCATAGGGACACCCATATTCACACCCACACTCGTATACATAAAACTTTGTACCATATTAAAGCAGAGAAAAAAATCTGAAGAAAGCAAAATAATGATTAAGGTTTCGACACAATAAGTGTAAGATTAATTAAATCAGATATTATGAAAAGCATACTATTGCACTTGTTGATATATATAGGGTGTCCGGAAAGTCCTTAGAGTTAGGAAAATTTTCATATCTCCTTTACGGCTCGACCAAACGAGCTCATTTTTTTAACAAAGATTGAGGCACGTTCACACTCCAAGTCCATATGGACAAGAGTATCGAGAATCTTTGTTAAGTATCACTATTGACCTCAACAAGAAAATTTTACTGTTCCACGGAGAGGAAGAAAAACCATATACTTAACAAAGGTTCTCACTAACTTTGTCAGTATGGATTTGGAGTGTGGATATGCCTCTATCCTGGGTAAAAATATCAGGTGGTTCGCTCAAGCCATAATGAAGAGAGTCAATTGTCTTTTCAATAAAGTGTCTTTTGCCCTATCCTATGTAATGTTTGTTTTCCTAACTGTGAAACAGTAAAATTTTCTTGTTGAGGTCAATAGTGATACTTAACAAAGATTCTCAATACTCTTGTCCATATGAATTTGGAGTGTGAACATGCCTCAATCTTTGCTAGAAAAATGAGCTCGTTTAGTCCAACCATAATGGAGATATCCAAATTTTTGTAACTCTAAGGACTTTCTGGACACACTATATACTACACATGAGTCTCTTATCTGAGCTGATAGAATTAGATAAAAGCATGACAAATTAATATTTATGACACATGAAGAAAGAAAAAGAATATATGGTTAGATGTAACTTCCGGACCGATAGATGAATTCAGAATAAGATTTTCTAATAAGGGTGTGGGTGTGGGTGGGTGTGTGGGTGGGTGTGGGTGTGGGTATGGGTGTGGGTGTGGGTGGGTGTGGATAGGTATGGATGTGGGTGTGAGTGGGGGTGGGTGTTAATGTGGGTGTGAGTGGGGGTGGGTGTTAATGTGGATGTGAGTGGAAGTGGGTGTGGATGTAGAATATATGAAAGATGACCCACCTACACCTACATCGTCTGAATGATCTTACTATTAATTATCTTGGTTATTATACTGATAATGGTGCTCATTATTATTATTATAATACAGAAAAAGGAATAAATTATGAAGAAACGATCGTCAATGTTTATCATCAAATTCTACTTCCATTTCATTATATTCAACTTAACTCATGGTGGTATTATAAAGGAATTCAAGATGATTTTTCTGAATGGACAGCTCCTCCAGATATATTTCCTGATGGTCTTCAAGTCGTCCATCGTAGATTAGAAAATATTCCAATAGCAGTACATAATCATTACTGGTCATATAATACTGTTTATAAACAAAATTATTCTTTTGCTGTTGATTAAAAAAAATGGACCAGCGTTACCTATTGGAAATGATTCATTTTGAATTAATTTATGTATTCAAGCACATAGTTGGGATCTTGTTCTTTATGAACGAGATTGGCTTGATCGCTAAACAATGGATTTTTATCATCATGTACTGGTATTCATATTGGTCATCAATGGGAAAAGCAGACAAAAAAAAGGAATAAATAAACAATATTGTATGAGTTTACTGCATCATATTTTACAAGCTTTACAAATTTCATGTGTCATGCATGTGCGAACATCAACTGATTATGTTTTTCATCTTGAGTTTCCAATTAAAACTCAATGAGCTGTCGGAATATCTAGTATGTTCGTTGATGCGATTGGCTTAGTGCCATTGAAAGATATGTTCTGATCTAGTTCATGAAAACCGGATACACCTTATAAACGATTATCTCATAAAGTACTTCCAGATTGTGAAATAGTGGTTGCAACTCTTTCAACAGGACCTGTAAGTCTAGGTGATGCAATTAATTATACAAACGTTGAACGTATTATGCGATGTTGTCGTCAAGATGGTTTAATTTTGAAACCAGATCGAGAATTGACGACGATAAATACGTTAATATCTGATTGGATTTTTCATGACAGTGTCTCATAAGGAGAACTTTATTTAACACAAACTATAATGTAAGTTCCTCGTTTTTTTTTGTATACTTTAGTTATTCTTTTCTTTTTTTTGTTTAGAAATAACCAAACTTTCTTTATAATCTTTACATCATCAATGAAACCAGATTATTCAGTTTATCCTTCGATGATAAGAGCTCAATCGGGACTTATTTGGTTATATGATAATTCAAGCGTAGTATCAACTTTTAATGCAAGTTTCCCTCTCGATGTGTCGACTACTAAATGCAACCATTTATCAATATGTCTTTGGTATATATTATCTTTACTTTCATTAGATGATTCACTTGGAATGCAAAATGCTTTTCTTGGTGAATACAATAAATGGATAGCTGTTTGCCACCAACGATTTATATTCACAGTTACGGATATTGAAAAGAACCAAGCACAAGGCATACCTTCTGGAATAGTTTCAATCGTTGTCTTTCATTCAGCACTCAAATTAGCTGCAACTGAATAAAAAAAAGCAGTACTCTAACCGAAACTCGTATACAGTTAAATAGTTAAACCAATTACTTTTCTAACTATATATCATTAATGGATATTCTCTTAAAATTCTTGAATAAAGCTGATGTTTCTAGTAAACTGATCTTAATAATTTATAGAAGAAATTTTTTCACAGTTGACTACTATTCCGTGAAATTTTCACAATCAAAAATTGTACTGGGAAGAAATAGCATAGTAAAGAATATCGAGTACTCTTAAGGATCTAGAGAGCTCAGTGCTTAAGCAAATGTATGCATATTTCTTAGCAAAGTAAGACCATAGCTGACGCTTCATTTTTTATGTTACAATATTGATAGTTACAAGAGTATTTGACATAAAGTTTCATCGATACTCTAGATGGTTCTTTTGGATCAAAACTAAGAAAGTGATCTTCTATGTGCATTATACAACGACATATTCAACTTAAAACTACTGACATGAGTAATAAAATTCTTTGTCAATATGTCTGAATGTATCATTATCAGATTTATACTTGCCATTGTACGAAAAATATATCAGGTTAAAACAAATATGACATTTAATATTTTTGAAGATCTGTGAAATATTCAACGAAAGTTTTATTAGTGATATATCATCACACGAGATCATTTTTTCATGTTTGTTGTAAAGAACAATCAAGATCAACTATGAAATTTTACTATCAAATACTCCTGTATTTGATATACTGTAATATGAAAACGAAGAGCTAGTTCTGATTTTTATTTACTAAGAAATATCCATGTGCTTGCTTGAGAATTGAACTTTCTGGATCCTTGACAATTGTTCAATGTTCATCACTATGCTATTTTCTTTGCACCAATATTCACTGAGTTATGTGTCTTAAAATGATTCACCTGATTTTTCTTGTACATTGATGATTAGAATAGAATAGTCAGAATCCTTCAATGATTCGATAAAATTCAATGAAATTTATATTGCAGATAGTCGAATGTGCGTGTGGATGATAAGGAAGGTCTTCTCATCCCCCACACCGATACATCAACATCCACCCAAATCCACACCGAATCGAAGTTAGTTCAGTTCGAACTCGTTATAAACATAGGTCGATTCGATTCAGATTCATCCTATCCCATCCCATTTCTTATATGGAAACATTCATTATACAAAACTAGTCAAGACTTTTGTACCATCCTTTAGAGGGTTGGTCGATGAATGTTTTTTTATTGCGAATGTTTCAGTATTGTTATTGGAATTAATATTATCCCATTAATCTAAGGTCAAATGAATCGACCGTTCATCAACAATATTTGTTTTAACGTATGTTCGAAGTAGTGCTGATAGTTGAGCATTATTTATTTCGTCTTATAAAAGTATTGATTTTTAACGGTAAAGATTTTTTATGATCAAATAGCAATGATTCTAAATAAGTGAATTGTTTTCATTAAATTAAATATTTTCTCATAGTTAACGATGGAAATCTCTTTACCTGTCTCCTTTCCGGTTTCAATCGCTTTTTTTTTATTCTATAGATACTACATAGTGTTCTAATGGATGTTCTAAGAGGATTTGGATTCCTATTTAGATTGTACTCTGGTATCGAAACGTTAATATGTCTATTTTCTCAGAGGCCTCAGTTTTTTGGAAAACTCATATTTTCGAATTTTGATCTGAAAATTTGTGCATATGAAGAACTCAACTAGACTAATTTCCATAAAAAAAATTCAGAAGTTTTGAACAAAGTCTCTTGAAGATACATGTTGCATAAACAATCGACGGAAAAGGAGTCTATGTTTCGAGAGTTTCATATCTTGAAGAGATTTCGTTCAAAATTGTTGATTTTTTTTTAATGGAAGTTACTCTAGTTGAGTTCTTCATATGCATAAAGTTCCAGATCAAAACTCGAAAATACGAGTTTTCCGAAAACCTGGGACCTCTAGAAAATAGACATATTAAAAATTCGATACTATAGTTAAATCTCAATAGGAATCCAAATCCTTTTAGAGTTTCAGTTAAAACACTACGTCGTATCTATAGGCAAAAAAACATCATTGAAATCATCGGAAGGGAGCAACTGAAAAGATTCCCTCGTCAGCGACGAATCGTTATCGATAATGCACTAATGCATTTTGTTCTTTATCTACTACTAGATTGGTTAGCTGGTTAGTCAATAAAACTATAACTTTCTTTCTTTATATTATGAAAAATTCTTCATGTTATATATATCGAAAAATCTTTTCCGATGAGTGATAACTCGCCTTCATCGTCAACTGATGAATCAATAAATCCAAAAATTTCTTCAAATACCGGTAAACATATTTATTTTGATGAAGAACATGATGATAATGAAAATTTAACAACACAAAAAATAATTGAACGTCCAACACCATCAACAATTCGTTTTGATAGTAGTGATTTAATAACACGTTGTAAAGATTTTCTTCCATTATTATCAGATACAAATCAAAATTCAACAAATAAAAATGAAAATATTTCTTTAGAAAAAGATGATGAATTAAATTTTCCAGATATTGATGATAATACATTATCAGAAAAAAGTTCAAAAGAAAGTGGTGAAGCTTCAACAACAACAACAACAACTGATAGTGAAAAACAAAATGAAATAATTAAGAAAAAACGTAAAAAGAAAAAAAAGAAAAAGAAAAAAAAAGTTAAATTAAATGATGATTTAAATCAAGATAATCATGTTAACACTTAAGATTTAGTTTTTTAAATAAAGAAGAAAAAAAACAAAGTATACATTTTCATTTTTGTTATTCTAGATTATTCTTAACTCTTCAAACTACGACATATCTTTTTGGTGAATACAAATTTTTGGTAAGTTTTATTTCGAAAATAATCTCTAGCGAAACTAACTTTGATAGTTTCAAATTGAAAGATTTGTCTAAACAGGAGAGAACCGAGTTCGTTTTTCAGAATATTATATTTCAAAATAAAGCATTTCCTCAATAAAAATGTTATATTTTTTATGGAAATAAGACTCAAATAATTGTAGGACTATACAACAGAGTTGTAACTAGTCTAGAATTTTTGCACTGGTCCGGTTGATTTTGTTGTTCGAGAATTCAAACGTTTAGTGGAACTTCACTAGTCAATTCGAATGTCAGAAGTAAATTGTCGTTCGAATTACACCTCATTCTGGTTGCATGCGGCTGACTCAATACTTGATATTATCGATCTCATACGGCGTTATATCGTGTAGTGTTTGTCTGCTTCCGTCAGCCTCTTTTAGTTGACTCATAGATCAAATGAAAGCTTTTTCTAATGGCATATAGGAGTATAAACAAATATTGTTCTTTTGTTTTTAGATAAGATTATTCGCTTGTATGTGCAATCTGAGGACATCTATAACAAAATTCTCTCATTATTGAATTGTGAAAGCGCAGTAATCCAATTTGGATTATATATTATTCGATATGCTTTTCAAAGCTCGACTATTGCATTGAACTACATTTGCGAGTAACACGCGTTAGTCAAATGCACAATGTTCATGAATATCGAAAGTAGCCTTTTTCTGATGAATTTTGATAATAATAATCGAATTTCCTATCAAATCAAATCAAATATTTGGTATTAGCATAAAAAAAATCTGAGTCAATCTATATGTATCCAAAAAATCAGTTTGATTGTGAAGAATCATTTCTAAATTTTCAAAAAATTTCAGAGAATCCAAAATGAGAGATGAATAAATAATAAAAATGCTATTTTTATTGACTTTATTTTTTGATGTAATTCTGAAGGTGATCAGGCCTAACTTGTTAGACGAAAATAAAAGTTCCCTGTGGATTTTATAATACATATAGATTGATTCAATTTTTTGTGCTGATATCAAATATATCATTTGTTTTGATAGAAAACCTGATTATTCTAATCAAAATCTGTCAAAAATGATTACTTTTAACACTCATGAACATTGTAAGTCAACTAAAAGAATCTGAAGAAAGTAGACAAACACTACACTACATAACGCTGTAGAAGATTGATAATATCAAGTTTTGAGTCATTCGAAATGAAATCTAATTATTCAGTTCGAACAGCAATCGACTTCTAACATCTTAATTGACTATTGAGGGAATAATAAACTCAATTTTAGAGTGAAGAGGCCGATTTCATTGCTTAACAATCCTTATCATTTTCAAATACTCGAATAAAATGTGAAGATTATTTTGTTTTTTTTTTCGTAATTCTAAATAATCTCTGATAAAAAAAAAAGAAGTTGAATTTATATAATTAATAAAATGTCCAATTATTAATTTTTAGATAATTAATTAATAATGTCATCTGAAAGTGATGTAAATCCTAAAGCTTATCCATTAGCTGATGCTAAACTTACAAAAGATATTCTTGATCTTGTTCATCAAGCACAAAACTATGTAAGTTTTAATCATTTAATAAATTTAAAAAAATAAATTTCTTTGTTTTTCTTTTTAAATAGCGACAATTACGTAAAGGTGCAAATGAAGCAACAAAAACACTTAATCGTGGAAAAGCAGAACTTATAAGTAAGTTTCAAAAAAGACAAAGAATTTTATTTTTTCTCAAATGAAAACTTTTTATTTTAGTTATGGCTGCTGATACAACACCAATTGAAATCTTAATGCATTTACCATTATTATGTGAAGATAAAAATGTTCCATATGTATTTGTACGTAGTAAACAAGCATTAGGTCGTGCTTGTGGTGTAACACGTCCAGTTATAAGTACAAGTATAACTGTTAATGAAGGTTCACAATTAACACCACAAATTCAAACACTTAAACAAAATATTGAAAAATTATTTACTTAAAAAAAAGCAATTTCTTGTTTTTTTTTGTGTATGTTTTTGGTCTGTTTTCATCAAATAAAAAAAAAAGAAAACATCTTGTGTAGGACAAAATATACATATTTTGTTAGAGTTCGAACAAATACAATATATAATATGTCTCAATGTATCGTTTATATCAAACATTTATATATATGATAGATTAGATATGTGCTATAAAACCATGTCATTCCATTATATCTCATTCTCAACTGGATCAATAGATTAAAATATTATAAACTGTAACTTATTCGATATGAAAGATAGTTTTTGAAATGAAAGAAAAGAATTCTAACTGTCTCTAACATAATTAATATACTTATAATTTAATTCTAAGTTTATCTTGAAATCATCAAATTCCAAAATCAAATCTCAATTTCGATTATAAAATATTCCATCAACGAAAAATTCGAGCTCAAAAACAAAAGTTTGAAATCATTTATTACAATTAACTAAAGATAAATTCTTTCATTTGATGAAAATTTAAATAGTCTATTAGAAGACAATGATGATTTTAAAATTCTCAAAAATGAATTTAATATAAACACCTACATTATCAAAGTATTTTTTTTCTAATTCAACTTCAGATATTTAAAAATATTTAGGAATTTTATGTAGTTTTCATAGCCTTAATATTAATTATTTTCTTATTTCGAGTCTTCTTCAAATTGAAAAATACGTTTTTTATTTATAAAACGATTTCCTTGAGTATCCAATAGATTTTTCTTTTAACATTAATTTTATTTTATTATTTACATAATAAAATATAGAATCTAAGAAAAAAAAATCTTCTATTAAACTGCATAATTTTTCAAATTGATCTAATCGAATAAATCACTGGAAATGATTTATCTATTTTATATTCATATTTTGTGCATGTAGATGAAACCTCTAAACTAAAATATTTCCCATATGAATTCACATACATGTGCCTTCTCTAAAGATTTATAACAATTACGCTGGATTCTTAACATAACACGATCTATTGCCAAGAAAACTGAACAAAACTTAATTGATGTGAAATTTTGTTTATCGATAAGTTTGATAATCTTAAGAAAAATCTAAAAGTTTCCATCAAAACGATTGCTTTCCCCAGATTCGATTTCAGAAAAAAAATCGTAAATTTCCTCATGTTGAGTATTTCACCAACGAAATAATCCTTTCATACTTAAACTTTTACAATATTCTCAAGATTAAAACATTTGTATATGGACAAAATTTTTTTCTGACAATGTTCTGTTTCATAATATAATGATTCAGTAAAACTATCATAACTTTTTAGTGAAGAAGTTTAAGTTAGAATCCTAATAGAATTATTCTAGTTCAAAAGTCGTATAAATTAGTATCTTACATGAGTATGACTTTTCGTAATCAAGCTGTGATCGGCACTTTATTTTTATACTAGAATCTGAATCGGAGCTAATCAATATTCGACAGATACTTTCACAGTCATAATATGGTTTTCAAACCTTTATTTTAGATGAAAAAGTATACTATTTTGTTTCTTCTATAAACATCAACAAAAAAAAATCATCTCAAATTTCATTAAAAAAGCAAGTTATTCAGAATCTATTTGGTTTATTTCTGCTTCTAAAATCCAATCAATTTCACTAAATATACGCTTGCTTGTTGCTGATGACCTGGAATGGAATGCAGGTTAATCCCAAACGTCATAGTTGTGGATATATATATATATATATATGAATGCTTTTACCATTATGATAATACATGTTCACCTTTTTTTAATAATTCATTTTCCTCTTGATGTATTCAGTTACGTTGTCATATGATTCATTATCATCTGTGGATGAATTTTCATTGAAAATAAATCCTTTTAGTAAGACGATATCGGTTTCTACTCCGATGACCTATTCTCCAGTACAATAAATTACTGAGGTTTGCACTCCTCGGTTTTTTTTTTATAAATTAGCAATCTGAAAAAATAAAAATATTTTGAAACGTCAAAATCTCATTAATTGCTGAGTTGCGTTCGAGTATGAGATCACACCTGAGATCTGGCGAATTGATATCTGAACTCATGTTCCGGGTCTGTTGCAGGATACTATTATAAATATAAGTTCAATAATGATAAATCTTGTCTATCGATTCGACATTTTTTTTTTCATATTAATTTTGCTTTCATTTTCTTCGAATGAATAGAAAACCTATTAATATACAATCTTTTTTTGTAATAATTTATCATTTCACAAATGAAAGAAGTTCTATTTTTATCTATTCAAAATCTTATTTTTTACATTATTCAATGAACATCATCCGATATAAGCAATTGCGAGCGAGGTAGACAAAAGCAAAAAAAATATTCAGTTCTTTTTTATTTTATCCATCATATTAAATCTATTATAAATACTCTATTGATGTTCCTTAATGAATGTCGAGAGACATATAGGTATATGACAACTGTGATTGACGTGTGTGTGTGTGTGTGTGCCGTTGTCACGCACATTCAGAAAAAAAAATCATTAATTAATTGCTTTTGTTGTTGTTGTTTTTTTTTATACTCCACATGTCATTAAAATACATAAAAATAAAATATATTATGAATGTAAGTAAACAACATATATGATAAGTATGTACACAGATGATCAAACGTATTTATGTTCGTGGTATGAGAGAATGTCTGAAGATTATCTTTTTGTCTTTTTATGCATATCATTTGATGAGTAAAGTCAATAGAATACAATTGCTCAAAACGAAAAACAAAAAAAAAAAATAAAAAAGAGAAAGATAATTGAATTCTTCAGAGAGAAAACAAAAATGTGAAATGAATGCCTTTAAGCAATGCTTTTCAATTTTCACTTAATGATGATGTTGGCGTCATAACAAGTTACATATATATTCATATACTTCACACTATACACTAATCCGTCATCTCAAGCTATCAATTGAAAGAAAAGAAAGTGTCTATTAAATACAAGTGAGGATTTATTTTTTGTTAATAAGTAACTCACTCGACACCAATGACTAGTGGTATAAACAAATTCGTGTTTGTATTTTTTTGTTTTACAAGAGCAAATTCAAATCAAGGATATTTCATTGTCTATTCAACAACAAAAAAAAGATGTTATTGACTTTCGTTTTTCTTTTTCATTGATTTAAGAGAAACAAAATAATGAATTTCAGTTCATAGTAACATTCTTTTTTTTTTTACCACTTTCAAAGCAAAAACTCATCGAGTTATTTTCATTGGTTTGTTTTAATCCTTTTTTTATTATTGGTTTATTTCATCATCATCTTTTTTTTTCTCTCAACAAAAATCTCATTGGATAAACATAGAAAAGAAAAGAAAAAGTGAAAAAAATCCAACATACTGCTTGTCAATCAACATCGACTAACGATCATCGCGTGACATACTCATTTCTCTTTTTTTTTGGGTTTCTCTTGCAACAAGATTGTGCGTGTTCAATGAATAGTTTTCATCATCAGTTCTCATCTATTTGAAGTTTCTAAACAATATTCTTTTCTTTTTCTTTTTTTTTGTTTTCAAACAAAAGTGGCTTCTGTAAATAGTCAAACAAAATATTCTTCACCACCATTAGGTGATTATTATTCAAATTATGCATCAATGACAAATGATCCATCAACATTAAAATTTGGTTATACAGATCCATTTTCATTTGGATTTAGTCAACATTCAACATTATCATATAATGGTTCATCACAAAGAAAACAACGACGTGAACGTACAACATTTTCACGTGCACAACTTGATCAACTTGAAACATTATTTGCTCGAACACGTTATCCAGATATATTTATGAGAGAAGAAGTAGCTATGAAAATAAGTTTACCAGAATCAAGAATACAAGTAAAACGAATTCTTTTTTAAGAAAAAAAGAAAAATTTATATTTGTTTTTTTATTTTTATTTTTTTGTAACTATAGGTTTGGTTTAAAAATCGTCGTGCAAAATGTCGTCAACAAGATAAAGCAATTAAAAAACCAACAACATCATCATCATCATCATCAAATAGTAGTTTACATGAAAAAAATGAAATATCATCTCCTTGTAAACGTGAAATAAAAAGTCCGAATATTCGTCTTAATCATCGTTCACCGTCATCAATATCCAGTATAAATGGTGGTGGTGGTGGTGGTGGTGGTGGTGGTGGTGGTGGTGGTACAAGTTCAGATAATTCAACAACATCAGCAGCTGCATCTTTAGCTGCATGGTCATCACAAGCTGTTGCATATCATCATATGTATCCAACATCATATAGTCCAAATCAAGCACTTTTTTATACAAATGATCCAACAACAAATAATTCAACAATCTATGGAACAACTTATAGAAATCAAGATATGGATTTTCTTCAACCAACATCAATGTATGGACGAACAAGTGAAGAATTTATGAATGGTTGGACAAATGCACATCATCATCATCATCATCATCAAAACTTTAAAATTTTCAATTAATATTGTATTTGTAAGCGAACAGTGTAGAAAAGAAAGAAAAAAAGCTGTTAAATAAATGAAAAAGGTATTTAATTGGATGGAATGATAAATGTTGACATATTGTGATGGGTGGCAAGATTAGCTTATTTGTCAATAAAGTAAAAGAACTATATGAAAAGTCAATCAAGAAAAAAAAAAGCTTGACTTTGTCATTATTATTCTCTCGCTCTCTCTTTTTTTTTTGACATCAATTAGGTTTTTTTTTATATTAGAATAAGAATAGAAAGGATTAACAAAAGTCTATCAATGAATATAGTTCCTTTCTTGATCAACATATATATTGCTGAAGAGAAGATCATATTGGACGTTACTAGTCGCATCTTAAAAAAGAAAGAAAAACATACATTGATTTATTCATCAATATACAAGTAGATAAGATCCTATGATGATAATTAAACCATAACTAACAAGACATTCTTTTTTTTTTTCTTTCCTTCCTTAAAGATATCTTTTTCATTCATGTTGAGTGCATCAATATAGATCATAGTTGTATATGCAAGCTTGTATCATAAGCCGATTAGTCTGGATTCTCATTTTCGATCGGATGGGTTAGATTATTTTTTTTTTTTAACTAGAATAATGCAAACAGTAACACAAGTGGGTGGTATTTAAGCCGATGGTTTCTTTTCTGTTCCCACCTGAGTTTAATACTCACCATTCTACTTCAAAAAAGAAAAAGACACACGACACAATACGACGCCTGAAGCATAGATTATCTTATTCACGGCGTCAGAATGACACTAAAGAAAAAAAAAACCGGGAAAAAAATAATTACACTTTTATAGATTCAATTTTCGTAATAGAAAAAAAAAGACAGAAGGTCGAAGTTAGTGCCGTAACTAGATGACATCTCAGCACCTTCTAGAAGGGTTTGAATCTTATCTACAAACGTTCGAAGATGGTCTCTATCCTCTTTAGAAATATTTAGAGACAGAGTTGAACCTTCCTTACAACTTTTTTTCTGACTATACCACTAATCTAAATGATTAAAATGGTCATTCATGATCAGTTTCAGATGAAAGAATTGAAATGTTGACTAGATCAAGGTGGTAAAAGACATCTTAAATTACAATGTCAATAATAGATGACATGTTTATCAACAAACGATATACGTCTTTAGTATTGATAACGGATTATTCAATTCTGTTAAAAGAAAAAATGTTTTTTTTCTTCTTTTTTTTTTGAAGTGTAATTCCCGTACATATGAAATAAAGAAGAAATCGGTCTTATTTTTTTTTTGTTTCAAATAAGACAACCATTCAGCACGTTTAGTAAATTGATAGTCGATTTCGAACAGGTGTCGAATTTATATCAACTAGGAATAGTAAATCATTAAATGGCACGTTCAATTTTTCTTTTTCACATATATACATCAGACAACAAATTATATATATATATATTTTTTTTTCTTCTTTTTTGTTCTATTCTTCCTATGTATGTTTAGGAAAGATGACGGTGCATTTAAGAAGGAAGACAATTGTTAACTCACGTTTAAATGTTATTTATTTTTTGTTTTGTACTATTAAATAATAAATTGTAGATTTCAGAGAGAAAATTATTTGTTATATAAAAGTTTTACAGTTTAGTTTATTATCTACACTAGTAGTGCCGAAGTCCGGAAGAGAGTGAAGGAGGCTCAGTCCTCCCTCGCCCAAAATTCTGACTTTTCCATTGTATGAGAGTCGAATATAATCTATGTCATTCTAAGACTATGAAATTTTCTAAAATTTTAGTTTAGAATGCAGTTTAAAGTCGTACAATATTTATCATAAAAAAATCACTTGGGGATGAATAACAAGATGATACAATCGAAAATTTCTCGTCGATTCTTTATCAATAACCTGTCATAGAAACATTGGATAAATTTTCTTCAATAAAATTACATTGATTTCTTCTAAGATAAAATTAATATTTGATATGATGATCAATGAAAGAAATGAAAATATTTTGTGTTCTATATTCATATATATATATTTCATGAATTTTTTTTTTCAATTGTTTAATAAAAATAAAATATAATAGATGTCGATATATTTTTGTTTTATTAATATTTTTATTTAACTGGTCATTGTTATCAACCATACGATAAGATGATCGATGAGAACATTCATATAGAACACAAGAAAAAAAAAGTCACACGAATGATTATAAGTAAAAATATTTATTTTTAATATATTTCAGTTACTAAAATGTGCTGAGAGAGTAAAAAGCAGTTTTATAAAGAGCGATATGGGCTTTGATACTCAAAGATTTCTCAACGCTATCGATGAAGAATTAATTTGTATGTATTTAAAAATAATAATTAATCAATTAAATATTTATTATTATTATTATTATTTCTTTATATTCAGGCTCTATTTGTGGTGGTGTTCTACAAGATCCTCTTCAAATACCATCATGTGAACATGTTTTTTGTCGAGTAAGAAAATCTTTATTTTATTATTGTTAAATATATTTTAGTTTTTTTTTGTAAAGACTTGTATTGAAGAATGGCTTTCACAAACACAAACATGTCCCATCGATCGAACACCAATAGAAATCAATCAATTAAAGCTCGTGCCACGAATTATTAAAAATTTACTGAATCAGTAAGTTTTATTCAATAGAAAGAAAAAAGCGTTACAATAAGATAAGGATTTCTTTTTGTTTTCATTACAATGACTCATGTAATTGTGAAATTTTCAATTTAAAAAAATCATATTCTTATCGAAAAAAGTATTTTCGATTAGTTGATTTCATATATTACAATGGAGATGTATGTATTGTTAGTTAATAAGACTACACATATTCGGATCAAATGAAAGCTTTCACTAATAAATTTGAAATGTACGCTGCCAGACTGATACATTCGAATTTTAAAGTATTATACAATATATATCAGGTGCTTGTAATTCAAAATATTAGCAGAATTTTTTTTTTGTGATAGTTGAATAGATCTTACCGAGTTGTGTATTGAAATAAAAAAAAACCATTTCACGGGAAATATCCAAGATATAACAGGAGAAAATAGATTTCGAATTCTAACTTTTTGTTTTTAATTTGAAACATACTTTTTCTTATACAACTCGATGTGGTCTATTCAACTATCACAAAAAAAAACTCTGCTGATATTTTGAATTACAAATACCTTTCATATACTGTAAATACATTAAAATCCGAATATTTCGATCTGACAGTCTATATATTGAATTTATTAGTGAAAGCTTTAATGTGACTCAAATATGTCTATTCTTATTAACTAACAACAAAAATACCTCCATTATTAGTTGTAAAAAATTGATATTTCGCAATCGGTAAGATTAAATGCCTTTCAAGTTTCAATTCTTCTGTTTCACAATGTCCTAAAAGTTTGGGCATATTGTTTTTTTTTTATTCGCCTTTCGTGTGTCAAAGTATACGAAAGGCATAGATTCTTATCATTTTTTCTCACACCCTACTTCCTCTCATAGGGGCAAAAAATGATGCGACAGCTGGAAATTTTTCTCATACAATAAGATAATCTGCAATGTCAATGTACTTTATGTAAAATAAATCTGAAAAAGTTTTGTACTCGATCTAAACTTTGAATTGCAATTGTTTTTTTTTTTTTATGATTTCCAATCAGCATGTTTCAAAACAATCAAAAATATATTATAGAATCATTTTTACTTTTTTTTTTTATATAATGGATAGAATATAAAGAGAAATAAGCATTTTTCAATGATAAACTTTTGAAATCGTTAAATAAAATATATTCATATATATAAAAGAGAAAAATTGATTCTAGAAATTATTAATTCAAATATAAAGCCTTTTATGACTATAATGAATTACTAAATCTCATTTATTTGGATGTAGATTAGTCTTCGATTGTTCCTTCTTTCAACTTTTAAAAGCTACATATCTAATTCTCGATTTATTCGATTTTTAATCGAAGACCTTGATAACTGTTCCTGACATTTGTCAATAAAAAAAAAAATATTTACCGAGAGAAATACTCCACCTGACTAATCGCTCTTGAGTCAAGACTATATGCATCATATAAACCCTAATGAATTTTAAATATCCTGAAAAAAATCCGAGTTTTTAGTTTATTGCTGTGAAAATACTGCTTTTTTAAGTCAATGTCGCAGTCCTTCTAAGGAAGACTGATTTTCCAAATTTCAACTTGAAACTTTGCATAGAGATAGATTCTAACGAGAAAAGTTTATTATAATATTTTCAAATCTTTTGAGTAGAACAACAATTCGAGTTATAGATTTTTTTTTTTTGATAACTTATTAAAAATCTATTTGTATGATAATATTTTTAGTTTGGAAATTAAATGTGAAAATGAAGGTTGTACAACAACAGTCAAATTAGATGTTCTTGCAAATCATTTAGTTGATTGTGAATATAATAAAGAACAATCAATTCAATGCGAAAATGGTTGTGGAATGGTAATTTCAAATGGTAATCATCGAGTAAGATTTTCATTTATTAAAATAAAATAAAATTTTAACTTTAATTTTAAATTTAAAAAAAAAACTCAAGAATCATAATTGTGTTCAAGCATTAAATAGTGAACTTAATAGTGTTAAACATGAATTAGAAAAATATAGACATGATGTTGAATTTTATAAAACTGAAATATCTACACTTCAGGTAAAATATTTTTGAGCAAAATTTTCAAGATTATATTATTTCTTTTTTTCCTGAATTCAAGGAATTTATTCGTGTTAGTCGCGCTAATTCAACAGTATCAGATTCATTTGAAGATGGAGAACATGATGCAACATTACGGTATGAAAATAACTATACAAATAAAGAATTAGA